GAAACTAAATAGCATGCTATTAAACAATGAATGGGTCACCAAAGAGATCAAAGAAGAAATAAAAAAACATCCTGGAAACAAAGGAAAATGCACACACAACAATCTAAAACCTATGGGACACAGTGAAAGCAGTCCTAAAAGGGAAGGCCTCCCTCAAAAAACAAGAAAAACTGGCAATGTTTTCTAACACTGAAACTTAAAGAATTAGAAAGAGAACAAGAAGAAAAACCCAGAACAAGTAGAAGGAAGGAAATAATAAAGATCAGAGCGGAAATAAATGACATAGAGACCAAAAAAAACAAAACTAAACTAAATAAAACAAACAAACAAACAAAAAAACCCCAACAACAACAACAAAAAAACACAATAATATGAATAAGACCAAGAGCTGGTTCTTTGAAAGGATAAACAAGACTGATGGACCGTTAGCCAAGCTCACCATAAAACAAAAAGAGAGGACCCAAATAAACAAAATCAGAAACAGAAGAGATGAAGTAACAACTGACCCCACAGAAACACAAAGAAATATCATAAAATACTGTGAATGACTTTATTCCAACAAATGAGACAACATGTATGAAATGGACATATTCCTAGAAAAATACAACCTTTCAAAACTCAATCAGGAAGAATCAGAAACCCTGATTAAGTTGATGACTACTGATGAAATTGAAGCAGTAATAAAAAAAGACTCCCAGCAAACCAAAGCCCTGGTCCAGATGGATTCTCAGGGGAGTTTTACCAAATATTCAAAGAAGAACTAACACTTCTACTCCTCAAACTATTCCAAAAAATTCAAGAGAAGGAACACTACCACACTCTTTCTATGAGGCTACCATCACTCTAATTCCAAAACCAGATAAAGACACAACAAAGAAAGAGAACTACAGGCCAATATCCCTGATGAACATAGACACTAAAATCCTCAACAAATTTCTAGCAAACCAGATCCAGTAATACATTAAAAAGATCATACATCATGACCAAGTGGGATTTATTCCAGGGATGCTAGGCTGGTACAATATTCGCAAATCAATAAATGTGATACAGCACATAAACAGATTGCAAGACAAAAATCACATGATCATATCAATCGATGCAGAAAAAGCTTTAGATAAAATCCAACACCCTTTTTTGGGAATAGAGGGAACATATCTCAACATAGTAAAGGCCATATATGACAAACCTACAGCCAACATCATACTCAATGGGCGAAAACTAAAACCATTTCCCCTAAGAACAAGGACAAGACAAAGATGCCCTCTTTCACCACTCTTGCTCAACATAGTTCTGGAAGTCCTGACCACAGTGATCAGACAAGAAGAAGAAATAAAAGGAATCCAAACTGGAAAGGAGAAAATAAAACTCTCATTATTAGCAGATGACATAATACTGTACATAGAAAACCCTAAAGACTCCATCAAAAAACTACTTGATTTAATAAATGAATTAAGAAACGTAGCAGGATATAAAATTAATACCCCAAAATCCACAGCATTTTTATACACCAACTAGTAGCCCGGTGCACGAAATTCATGCACATTAAAAGGGAATTAATTGCCCTAACCGGTTTGGCTCAGTGGATAGAGCATTGGCCTGCGGACTCAAGAGTCCCAGGTTCGATTCCGGTCAAGGGCATGTACCTTGGTTGTGGGCACATCCCCAGTGGGGAGTGTGCAGGAGGCAGCTGATTGATGTTTTTCTTTCATCAATGTTTCTAACTCTCTATCTCTCTCCCTTCCTCTCTGTAAAAAATCAATAAAATATATTTTTTTTAAAAAGGGAATTAATTAGCGGATTTGCCCTTTCTCTATAATAGAAGTGTGAGAGATGAAAGGAAATTAGTAAAATATATATGAAAATAATATATAAATTTGTTAATAAATAAATAGTAACAAAAGGATATAACAACAACACAGAGGCATGATATGAAAACAACAAAAACATGACATAAAAACAACAGTGATGTAAACAATGACTGATAAAGTTATTAAACTTATTCTAATATCTTCCTATACACCACATTAAGAGTGAAAACACTTTCAGAGTGCTTGACTAATTTCCCTTGTGATGAAGTATTTAGAACTTTAACTGTAACGTCACATGCTCTTCAAATTCGAGAGAAAGCAACATTTAACTGACCATGTGTGAAAACGGTATCAGGTAAGAATATGCTGGCATCAAGGGAAACTGTTGTCAAATCACTTTAAATGGGAGGTCAGTGTCAGATGGGGACAAATTAATTCTTGGAATCAGAACAGCCTCTCCCTCTGCAGCTCCTGTTAATACTTCAGCTTAGATAATGTTAGGTCATAATCTTTTGATAATAAATCTGGTACCATTACAAAGATCCCATTTACTATTGAGATTTCTCAATAGCATGATGATTGCACCCACTTTTAATTTTAATTTATGACACAGCATTCCCGAAGGAGTAATACTATTTAGAAATTCAATGAGAAAATTTTCCTTTTCAGCATCAACTGTGGAATCAATGGAATCATCACTCAAATATGTGTAAAAATCTCCATTGAGTATATCCAAATTTTCTTCATTTAATTTTTGAACATGTTCATGCTTTGGACAAAGAATTGCATGTTTAGATATATTTTAATATTTTCTATAGCAGTGGTTCTCAACCTTGGCTGCACATTAGAATCACCAGGGAATTTTTTAAAATCCTGATTCCTGGGCCTCATCCTCCGGAAATTCTTTCTTTTTTATGGGGTAGGGCCACAACATTAGTAACAAAGAAACAGAATTTCTGGAGGATGAGGCCCAGAAATCAGGATTTTAAAAAGATTCACAGGTGATTCTAATGTGCAGCCAAGGTTGAGAACCACTGATCTATAGATACAGTATTTCCAAAGGTAGCTTCAATAATAGATCCATTACAAATCATTTCACTTCCATGCTCCGCCCTAAGGGCTGGTTCCTGCCTCCAGGAAACAGCTGGAGGAGGGCGCAGCCGTTTCCAAGATGACCCTTGCAGGACTGCCTTCCTTCCAGTTGGTTGCAGTTCTGGCCATGATGTTACACCCAGGGTTTTTATATAAGTAGATAGTGAACTCTCAGAAAGAAAAACTAAAAAAAAAACCCAAAACAATCCCATTTACCATTGCAACAGAAAAAATTAAGATACTTAGGAATAAACCTAACAAGGAGGTAAAAGGCCTTGAAAACTATAGGACATTTAAAAAAAAGATAGAGGAAGATATAAACAAGTAGAAGAATATACCATGTTCATGGATTGGTAGAATCAACATCATTAAAATGCCCATACTACCCAAAGCAATCTATAGATTCAATGCAACCCCTATTAAAAATACTAATGACATATTTCACATATACATTCTAATGGAGCATCTCTAGTTTGTATGTGTCTATTTATTCATGTATGATGAAACATATAAGGAGCCTGCATACCACAGACACCTGGAATATCAAAGTGATCCCATTATTTTCACATATGAATCAGCACTTATAGGCCAGGTACTCCTATGAGAACACGTTTTCTGAGGCGATACAATAATTACAAATTTACTTGCAACTATCCATTCATTAAAAGAATGAACCTGAAGTGAGTAAGTCCTTCCTTACATAGTTCTTTACTTTTCACTATTTTTTACATGAAAAAGGATCAAATAAGTCCTCAGGATGAACACCAAATATAAATAAAATTCCATTTCATCCTCAGTGCATAATCAAAAATATCTTAAGATTTATTTTCCCAGTTACATAATCACCTGCTAAGAGGACTATTTCCACAGTGGATCCCTAGAGCATGTGCTCTGCTGCCACTGGTGCTAGCGATATACAGCCTGCTGCTGTCTGTCCTGCTCTGAGGTTTATTTTCAAAGTCAAAGTCTCAAGTTAGTGTATCTGATTGCTAAAACCTCAGTCACATGGATTCCCCTGCACATATAATAAGCTGAAAAATGCAAGTTGTTTTGTTTTCTTTAATCTATCTTGAGAAGGCAGTCTTGACTTTTATCAAATGCAAATCTGACATTTTATTTTACTTACTTTAAATTTTTCCAAAAAAATCTTTAACTTATTATTTAAGCATTGCTATAATTTCCTCTCAACATGTTTTCCCAGATTATTCTCCCAATCTATCTCCCACCTACATCCATACCTTTCTCTCTCGCCTTCCCTCCATTATTCCCTTCCTCTCTTTCTTACACACACACACACACACACACATATTTCCTCTGGCTCGAGTATACTATTAATCTCTGAAACACACCAACACACCACCATCCCTGTCCATAGTAATGATCTTCCCTCAGCTAAAATGATATTTTTCCATAAAATATCTCAGGTAGAAACATTCACTCTTACCTCAAAATTACACTACACACAACACATGCTTTATATTTTACCACACTTTTATTAGCCTATACATCTCCTCCTTCCAGAATCCCTAACCCATGCATCAGACTGAGTAAGGAATTGTTCATTGTGCTTCTGAGCAACCTGAAGTTAACTCTAGTTTAGCACTTATCACAATGTATTGTAATGGCCTGTTTCTTATACTGACATGTGAACTCCATTAAGACTATGTGTGTTTATTCACCATTGTATTCCACCTATATAGTACCCAATAGGTACTCAATAAATATTTGTTGAATAATAAGAAGATGAAATCAAGAATAAACATGTTTCCTAGTCAGCCTCATTTATGAGTATGAGCTACTCAAAATGCCTAGGAAAATGTCATGTACTGTAAAAGTTTATGAAATGCTTGGATAAAAGGAAATTAAATAACAATAGTAAGTTCACAAATTTGTCTTCAGAATTTCCAGAGACTGTAGAAAGTAGTAATTAGATTGACAGCACTACTGGAAAAGCCCAATGCTATAATCCTGCTACCAACTGTAATGAAAGTATGTGTACGCTGACTATCTTCATCTAAAGCCTTTTTGTCCAGGAGCAGCACATGACCTTGTACAGGAGAGGAAATCAATGCAGGATTGTTAAGCTGGGGAATGTCTTACCCATGGATCTATAAACCATTGGCCAGCATTCAGAGTTGACAGGAATTTCCAATAGAAGAAGGATGTTGCTGTATAGGATTCGCTTGGCTTGACCTCCCTGATATTGGTTGTTCTTCTCAGGTTATGGTCATGCATGAGAAAAGGCACCTCATCAATACTGCAGGCAGAGGGGGGAAAGAGGGGAAGGGATGGATAGGCTGAACTCAGCCACCTTGGCACATAGAGTTCTCAGAAGCCCATCAAGGTCACAAGTTTCACTAGGGTTCCTTACTCCCTCCCAGATCTCATCAAAGGCTTACGTGCTAGTCATTTACACTTTGATGTCCATATTTTTCAGCCCTAGGGTTCAATCTTTTGTGGCATATCATATCAGTGATGGTGAAGAGTAGCTTCCCTATCCAGGTGTTTTCTGGCATCAGGAAAACAGCAGGTACAGTAGTGACTGAGAGTGAATGGGGTGGTGCTAGGGCAAGGCCCTAAGGTCCCAAAATTATGCTAAGCAGGCATCCACACAATCTTCCTGTGTTTTTCTGACCCATTCCCCAGCTAGGCACTTGCCCTGAGTATTTCTGGCCTACATCCTTCACATCAGGTAGTATCATTAGAAAAACATCCTGGTTCTCTTATCTGCTATTTGCCTTGAAGAATCTCTGCCTTTATGAAAATCTCTCTTCCTTTCCCATTAAAATACCTATGAAAAGAACCCTGTAATGGCCATGAGGGTGAAACAGGGTTGAGACTTAGCTTCCTGCCCATTAACAACTACAAAATTGGATGAAATGAAGGAAATAACTTTTTCAGCCAATGGAGTACAATATGATGATTTCAGAAAAGACAAATAAATGAAATAAGCTCTACCATTATCCAAGCTTCCTTCTTGCAGGTGAATACAGGATTGTGGAATACAGGACGGGGGAACCTAAAAGGGACCCAGCTATTGTGCTGAAATGAGGAGAAAAAGATCAGATTAAGGAGAGGTCAAGACATCTAGAATTTATGAGCTAGAGTCCTATAGAGCAGGAGTCCTCAAACTACGGCCCGTGGGCCACATGCAAATACAAATATTGTATTTGTTCCCGTTTTGTTTTTTTACTTCAAAATAAGATATGTGCAGTGTGCATAGGAATTTGTTCATAGTTTTTTTTTTTTAAACTAAAGTCCGGCCCTCCAACGGTCTGAGGGACAGTGAACTGGCCCCCTGTTTAAAAAGTTTGAGGACCCCGGCTATAGAGGTTGGAGCTTGAGAAAGACAGAGAGAAGGAGATCTCTTGATTGATCTAGGGCAGTGGTTGGCAAACCGCGGCCCAAAGAGCCACATGCGGCTCTTTGGCCTCTTGAGTGTGGCTCTTCCACAAAATACCACGTGCAGGCGCGCACGTACAGTGCAATTGAAACTTCGTGGCCCATGCACAGAAGTCGGTTTTCGGCCTGAGCAAGTCTATTTTGAAGAAATGGCGTTAGAAGTGGGGGTATGTTCGCTGAGGTCGACCCCTCAAATTGAGGACGTTTTTAGCAAAGGCCAGCTTAGGAGTACCCTAATTAAGTTAATAACAATGTACCTACCTATATAGTTTAAGTTTAAAAAATTTGGCTCTCAAAAGAAATTTCAATCATTGTACTGTTGATATTTGGCTCTGCTGACTAATGAGTTTGCTGACCACTGATCTAGGGAAATATGCAATTCGCAGGAAAAAGCCTGGATATAAACTAGGGTTAATTTTATTCCATTTCAGCTCTCAGCCCTGTAGCAGCTATCCATCCCCCACTAAGAGCCATATCGAAAATAGCTTGCACAGCAGCTGGTGAGAACCGGGGTAGTAAAAAGGACCCTGTACTGCAACTATGAGGGTTTATGCTCTGGTTGCTGGCTGCTGCTCTTTGTCACTGACGGGCAGACAGAGAGGTGGGCAACCATTGTTGCAGCTCCCCCCACTGTTGCAAAGCCCTCCCACTCTGCTTGAAGTGACTTTCAGAGGATTTAAAAATCCAGCCCCCCTGCCCTGATGGGTTTGGCTCAGTGCATAGAGTGTCGGCCTGCGGACTGGGGGGGTCCCAGGTTTGATTCCAGTCAAGGGCATATACCTTAGTTGCGGGCACATCCCCGGTGGGGGGAGTGCAGGAGGCAGCTGATCGATCTTTCTCTCTCATCGATGTTTCTAACTCTCTGTCCCTCTTCCTTCCTCTCTGTAAAAAATCAATAAAATATATTTCAAAAAAATGTTTACTTAAAAAGAAAATCCAGCACCCTTTTTACTACTCTTCATTTTTCTCCTTTTGAAAGACAGACATTAAAGACAATCATTTTAAAACAAGTGAATATATGAAAAAATTTACAAAGTGACTGTATAAAACAGCTGCATATATAGGGAAATTAGAATGTGACAGTGTATGCCCAAGAAAGGGATCAGAAAAATCTGAAAATACCTGAAGTTTGCATCTCAGGCTAACCCATGGCACAGAGACATCCTAAACAAATTATAATAAAATTATTTTAAATGCAGTAAATCCTTAGGAAGGAGGAGAATCTGATTTCCAGTGTTACTACTTTATTAAATTCAAATGTCCATTTTTCAACCAAAAAAATATCATCAAAAATATCACAAGGCATACAAAGAAACAGGAAAGCAGGGCCCATTTAAAGGAAAAAAATAAATCAACAAAAACTGTCTCTGAAAAAGAGCTGATGGCAAATATACTAGACAAAGACTTTTAAAAAACTGTCTTCAAGATACTCAAATAAGTAAAGAAACATGTAGATAAAGTCAAGAAAACAATGTATGAATGAAAGAACAATATTAATAAAACAATTATAAACCTAAAAGAAACAAAAAATAATTTTGGAGCCAAAATGTACAATATCTGAAATGAAAAACTGACTAAAGAGATTCAAAGGAAGATTTAAGCAGGCAGAAGAAAGAATCAGTGACTTACAAGGTATGACAATAGAAGTTATTGAGTCGAAGGAACAGAAATATAAAAGGTCATATAAAACAGTCTAAGGAATACACCGACACCAAAGCCAAACAAACACCCTAAAAGAAAATAAAACTCAGCCCGGCAGTGTTGCTCAGTGGTTGAGTGTTGACCCATGAACCAAGAGGTCACTGGTTTGATTCCTGGTCAGGGGCACATGTCCGCGTTACAGGCTCAAACTCCAGTAGGGGGCATGCAGGAGGCAGTTGATCAGTGATTCTCTCTCATCATTGATGTTTCTATCTCTCTATCCCTCTCCCTTCCTCTCTCTCTAAAATCAACTTAAAAAAAAATAAAACTATAGAACAACATCCCTTATGAACACTGATGCAAAAATCCTTAACAAAATACTAGAAAGCAGAATTCTGCGGTGTATTAAAAAAATTATAAAATATGGCCAAAAACAATTTATTCCTAAAATGAAAGGATGGTTCAACATAACAAAATCCATCAATGCAATAAATCATATTAACAGAATGAATGGAAAAAAACACATAATAATTTCAATTGTCACAGAAAAAGCATTTAATAAAATTCAACACCCTTTTATAATACCACTTAATAATGTAGGAATAGAAGAAAACATCCCAACATAACAACAGACATAAGAAAACCTACAGTGAACATCATATTCCAACCGTGAAAAACTGAAAAATTTTCCACTAGGAACAAAGCAAGGCAAAGCAAGAAATAAGGCAAGGTCTACTTTTTCCTCTTTTCACAGCAGTACTGGAAGTTCTAGCCAGAGCAAATAAGCAACACAGAGAAATGGATGGCATAAAAATTAGGAAGAAATAAAATTACCTGTTTTCAGATGATAAAATCATATGTAGAAAACCGTAAATATTCCCATAAAAAAAAACAGAATAAATGAATTCAGCAAACTAGCAGGATACAAAGTCAAAACACAAATATCAGTTGCATTTCTATACAGTAACTAGAGGCCTGGTGCACAAAATTAGTGCAGGGGGGGTTCTCCTCAACCCAGCCTGCACCCTCTCGCAATCCAGGACCCCTCGAGGGATGTCCAACTGCCTCGGACATTCCTCTCGCAATCCGGGACTGCTGGCTCCTAACCACTGGCCTGCCTGCCTGCCTGCCCACCCCTAACCACTCTGCCTGCCTGCCTGATTGCCCCTAACCACTCTGCCTGCCTGCCTGACCACCCTTAACCACTCTTCCTGCCTGCCTCATCACCTCTAACCACTCTGCCTGCCTGCCTGATTGCCCCTCACCACTCTGCCTGCCTGCCTGATCTCCCCTAACTGCCTTTGCCTTGGCCCCCACCATTGCGGCTTCATCTGGAAGGACGTCCAGAATGACATCTGGAAGGTCATTCGGCTGTCTGGTCTAATTAGCATATTATGCTTTTATTATTATAGATGATGAACAATCTGAAAGGAAATTGCAAAGATAATTCCATTTATAAAAGCATCAAAAAGAATAATATACTTAGAAAAAAACTTAACCAAGGACGTGCAATTCAAAAAACACTGCTGAGAGAAATTTAAAAATTGGAACTCATCTTGCCCTAGCTGGTTTGGCTCAGCAAATAGAACATCAGCCTGTGGACTGAAGGGTCCCAGGTTCAATTCTAGTCAAGGGCACATGCCCGGGGTGCAGGCTCAATTGTCAGTTGGGGACATGCAGGAGGCAGCTAATCAATGATTCTCTCTCATCATTGATGTTTCCATCTCTCTCTCCCTCCCTTCCTCTCTGAAATCAATAAAAATATTATTTTAAAAAATTGGAACACATCTCATCTTCATGTATTGGAAGACTTAACATTAAGATATTGGTACTACCCAAAGCAGTCTACCAATTCAATGCAATCACTATCAAAATGCCAATGATGTTTCTTTTTAAGAAATAGAACAGTCCCTAACTGGTTTGGCTCAGCGGATAGAGCGTCGGCCTGCGGACTGAAGGGTCCCAGGTTCGATTCCGGTCAAGGGCATGTACCTTGGTTGTGGGCACATCCCCAGTGGGGAGTGTGCAGGAGGCAGCTGATCGATGTTTCTCTCTCATCGATGTTTCTAACTCTCTATCCTTCTCCCTTCCTCTCTGTAAAAAAATCAATAAAATATATTTTAAAAAATAAAAAGAAAATAAAAGAAAAGAAATAGAACAAAACCCATTCTAAAATTCATATAGATTCTCAAGGGATCCTGAATATCCAAAACA